ATTTTTTATTACAGGGATGGTTTTTTTTTTTTTTTTTTTTTTTTTTTGTATATTTGTAAACGTAATCCTGTCTGCTCAGGGCAGATTTTTGTTGGTGGCTAGTTTAATGTTGAGCTTCAGAAAATGATACCCCATGGCACTTAGGCATGCTGAGTATTGTATTCTGAATTAAGAGGCACTCCATGATCTCTTCAGAAGCAGCATTAAAACCTCCTGCCCTTCTTTCTCACCCCTGCTACCCCAAGCAAGCCACAGACACTAGAATTTCTCTTCCTCAAAGTGAGTCGTAGAAACTGGAACTTTTCCCCAAAGCCAGCCACAAAAATTAGAAATATCACTCCAACCTTCAGATGGCCAAAAAGACATTCTCTGGCCATTGTCCAAGAGTAGATCGTTAATATTCTCATTCAAAAAAAAAGACCCTCATTCCAGAGGCAGCCTGTCCCATACCCAGAATGAAGAAATGTTAGAAACAGTGGGACCTGCCGGGGATTTAGCTCAGTGGTTCTGTTGCCTGCCTTGCAAGTGCAATAACCTGAGTTCAATCCCCGGTACAAAAAGAAACAAAAAACAAAAAAAGTGGGACCTTGCTAGATTTCCTTTTATTTATTTTATTTATTTTTTTGGTACCAGGGATCGAACTCGGGTTCTTGTGAGGCGGGCACCGGAACCACTGAGCTAAATCCCCGGCCCTAGATTTCCTTTTATTCCCTTAGATCATAGACTTTTTGTCCAGTCCTCATCAAATCTTTGCACAAAACAGTCATTTCCCATTGTCTATGGATCTTCATTCTGAAGGCTACCATATCACTGTAAAAACTATGATTAAATGACTTTGTTATGCTTTTTTCATGGTAATTTGTCTTTTGTTACAAAGTGTTAGCCATGACCTTTATTTATGTTTTAGACAGGTTCTTGCTGTGTATCTCAGGCTGGAGTTGAGCTATGTAACCCAGGCTGACCTCTAACACTAGGCAATCTTTCTGTCTCAGCTTCCTAAATGCTGGGATTAAAGGTATATGCTACCATGCCTGGCCATGACTTTTATAATGGTGAGGAAAGGATCAATCCTTTCTGCCCCTACTCAGAGCAGCCTCTTCCTGCCTAAACCACGTACCTAATGTGAGGCCTATGAACTTTGCTCTGGGTCATGATGGAGATGAAGCTATCTCAAGAATAAAGCTAGAGTGCTGGGGATTTAACTCAGTGGTGCCGCCACCTGCCTTGCAAGCACAAGGTCCCAAATTCAATCCCTGGTACCAAAAAAAGAAAGAAAAAAAGCTTCTTTTGCTGGGAGTGGTGGCGCACACCTGTAATTCCAGCACTTGGGAGGCTGAAGCAAGAGGATCACTGTGAATTCGAGATTAGTGTGGGATACGTTCTGAGTTCCAGGTCACCCTCAACTATATAGTGAGACCCTGTCTCAAAAAAAAACAAAAAAAAAAGCCGGGCATGGTGGCACATGTTTGTAATCCCAGCACTCAGGAGGCTGAGGCAGGAAGATCGCTGTGAGTTCAAGACCAGCCTGAGCTACATAGTGAGTTCCAGGTCAGTCTCAACTACATAGTGAGACCCTGTCTCAAAAACAGCAACAACAACAACAACAACAAAGAATAAAGCTAGGGGCGGGGGATTTACCTCAGTGGTTCTGCCACCTGCCTCAAAAGCACAAGGACCTGAGTTCAAGCCCCGGTACCAAAAAAAATAGTTTGCCTAGATTTTGTAATCTGTTGAGTCAAGACATTCCCCTTCCTTTCTCCCCTTCCCCACCAAAGGACACCGAGACAAGAAATACTTCTTTTGCTTTAGGTAACTGTTGCAAATATTCTGTAAAGATGACCTCAAGAATAACATATCCCCAGTACAAAAAAAAAAAAATAACCAATCCCACAAGCTGTTCTACAATGTAACTTTGCCACTGTAGTTTGCCACTGCCCAGTTAAGTAGAATCTAATTCCTTTCTTCCCCTTGAATCTGTTAGGACCTGTGATTCACTCATAATCAACAGAAGGTAGCAGAAATGATCCTGTGTAACCTCTGAGACTATGAGGTTTCATCTACTTTTGCTGGAAGATTTGTGTCAGAACACAAACTACAAGTTATGCATTTGAGCTATGCTGAGCCTACACACCATGAGGAAATTTAAAGTAGCTTGCACTGAGAGGCCCTAACAGTTCCTGAAAGAGATGCTGACTATTCCCAGCTGATCCCTGTCCATTTCTTCCAGCCTCGTCCACCATGAGACCACAAATGCCTGAGAAACCCTAGCTAGAAATGACCGGCTAATCTGTTACAGTTTAGATCTAAAATGTTCCCCGAGTCTCATGTGTTTGAAAGGTGACTGGATCGTGGGGGTGCTATACAAATGAGTTCATAGCTGAACGTGCTGTTGGGAAGTAGGATATAGTCAGAGGAGGTGGGTAACTGAGAGCCTGACCTGAAAGGGTGTGTTCTCATCTCTGGCTTCCCCCTTCTATCTCTCTGCTTCTTGGCTGCCACAACTGAGCAGCCTTCCTCTGCTACGCTGCTACGCTGCTCTACCATGCCATTTATACTCTCAAACTAGCTGATATATGGACTGAGTCCTCTGAAAAACATAGCCAAAATAAACCTCTCCTCTAAGTTACAGGTTGGGAGTATTTGGTCCTAGTGACAGGAATGCTGACAAATACATAAACTCTGCCAAAATTCCTGATGCGTGGACATCCTATTGGGTTGGGGTATGGCTCAGCAGTAGAGCGCTAACCTAGCATTTGCAAGGCCCTGTCCCCCTCTTAAGTCACTAAGTTTTTGCTGTTTTGTTTTAGAGACCAGACAAATGGTTCATTTTATTTTACATTTGCAATGGAATATCTTTACTCGGAAGAGAATACCTGAATTTAATAAATCAGTAGTCAGGTATTCATATTTATTTTTCCAACTCTACCACAATAATGTATTTTTTTGGAATTAACTTGATCCAATGCATTATTTCACCAATACTGAAATTCCTTATAGTCACATTAAACAGATTAAAATGAGCTCCTTCAATAATTTATTAACATCCCAAGATACTTAAAGACTTGTGTCTTGAAGGCATAGGGTAAACTAGAGCAATGTATAGTAACTTGTTTTTTATTTTGCATTACTAGGGATCAAACCCTGGGGCGATCTACCACTGAGCTACATCCTCAGCGTACCATCCCCCTTTTGAGACGGGGTCTCACTAAGTTGCCCAGATGGTCTGGAATTTGCTATTCTCTTTCCTTAGCCTCTCTCAGTGCTGAGACTGCAGGTGTACCACCAAGCTCAGCTTGTATAGTTTGTTTGTTTTGTTGTTGTTGTTTTTTCAGGCTTGGACCCAGCTTGTATAGTTTTTAAAAACTTTAAAGCTGGGCATGGTAGTGCACGGCCCAATCCCAGCATTCTGGGTTGCTGAGGCAAAAGGATCCCAAATTTGAGTGCCACCTGGGCAATTAAGCAAGACCCTGTCTCAAAACAAAAAAGTTTTTAAAGTGCTATAGTTGAGGCAGTGTCCCGAGCCCCACTTTGGGATACCACCTGTAGCCAGTCCACCCACCCAGCCTTGTTTCAGGACCTGGACCTGCTGCTTTGTTCTCTCTGACCTTGGGGTAAACAAGGTTGAATGAAAAGAAAACTGAAGTCAGTTTAACAAGCAGGCAACCAGAAGACTCTTGCCTCTTTATAAGCGGAGGACCCCCCACACCTTGCTTCATTCACCCAAACATGGGTACAAGCAATCACAGTAACATAAAATTCATCTGTTTTCCATATCCATTAGTACATGCGCTGGTAAACTTAACCTCAGCTGTCTTAGATTTTCCCTAGAAGGTGCAATATGCAATCACTCCTGAGTGCAGCCTTTCTCCTTTGTGCTCAAAAGGTCCAATTGGAGGCCTTAATTCTGTTTTCCAACAAAGTGCTAGGATGTAGTTCAGGGCAGAGGCCCAAGGTTCGATCCCCAGCACCACCACAGATCAAAATGAAGCTTCTCCTAAAACATCACATGGGTCAGGGATTTAGCTCAGTGGTTCCACCGCCTGCCTTACAAGCACAAGGACCTGAGTTAAATCCCTTGTGCCCCCCCCAAATAGAAAATAAAAAATTAATAAAAATCACAGCTTTCTCCGGTTTTTTAAAACTTACATAAAATATTATTCCTACTATTAGGCTTTACCTTGTGTGGTGATAAACACCTAATGCCAGCTGGGCATGGTGGCACACGCCTATAATCCCAGCACTCAGGAGGCTGAGGCAGGAGGATCGCTGTGAGTTCGAGACCAGCCTGGGCCACATAGTGAGTTCCAGGTCAGTCTCAACTACAGAGTGAGACCCTGTCTCAAAAAACAAACAAA